TGAAATCACATGGAAAAAGATCACAATCAAGGCTAGTCCTGACCAAAGACTTTACATCACAGGTAGAATGGAAGACACAAAGCTCCATGAATATAACCAGCTTTCTTGGGGGAGCTTTAATTTTCCTTTTTGTTTTTGTTTTATATTTCTCCATCCCCCTCGTGCTATGCTCCACAGGCAGAAATCCCAAAGCAGTGCAAGCCCTCGGATCCAGCGTGGAGTCAGAAGTGGCGTCGAGCAGAAAAACGTTTGCCTCCTCAGAGCTGGAGACTCCACCACCACCAGATTTCATCTCTGAAGAAGTTCAAGGTAAACCAGCAACATTCCTTGCGAGTTTCCCAATAAAAACGCCTTCACTCAGCTCCAGATCAGGTATCCCGGGCAGAAGAATGTCCGTTACCGAGACGACAGGCTCTTACCATTTCAGGCTGGGCACTTTGCTGACCCACGTGGAGCTGGACAATCCTCATCAGTAATTTTACACCGTACACCCAACTTCAGGAACCTGTCGCTTGCTGCTTCTGGTGCAGCCCGACGCGTGGTACAGAAGGTTGCAGCAGATTCCTTCCTAGGAGAGCTTCTGGGCAGGCAGAAACACCCCCAAAGGGAACAAACCCTGTCAGAACGTTAGAGCCAGAAATACTTATTTTTTTAAGAAAGTTTTTCTTCTAGAGCCAAGAGCAGAAAACACCAATCCCTTCACCTCTGCCTGCTCCATCTCTTGGAACGGGAACAAATCTGGAAACCTGCTGACACAGAATCTGTGCAAAGGATAAAGCAGCCGTTTCTGGAGCAGCTCACGTGGGGCACGGCAATCGTCCAGAAAGAACTATTTAACCCTAGTCTCAAAAGTGACCTTTTTCAGGTCAAAAGGCCACAGCTGTGCCTCCCTGCTAAGCTGCACAGAGATCTTCCTGTAGATGTAATTTTCCATCCACACCTAGCCCTAGGAAACCAGCTGGTTCCGATTTTTATTCCTTAGCTTGGATTGAGAAGAACAAAGAAAACCCTTTTCGAACTGCGTAAACATACAAAATGTGATTTAACTTGGCGCTGTAGGATTTCAGCCCAGCATGCAAAGAAACAGCCAAGGTCTTTCTGTCCTCAGTGTGTTCAGAGAAACTGAACTCCAAGTATCCACGTGTTGGACTAACCAAACCAGATGTGCAGCAGCGAAATGGCTGGCTGATTCTGGAAGTACTGTCTTGGTCGTGTGGCTTTGTGTTATCGCCAGGACGAGGATATCACGCGTGTTCAAGCCCCATCATATAACGTTGACTTTTAAAACACACAAACTAGTTCGTTCTGGTACAATAATGACCCAAGTCATGATCCATCCAAGTGTTGGCCTGTGCAAACACTTGTTTTAGGCGAAACTATGGATATTTCTCAACAATATCCCATTCCAGTTACCGACTGAAGCAAATCTGAAACTTCCATCGTTCTCATGCAAGCTTGAGTGTCACGATGCCTTCCAAAATTTGGCTCACGGGGGAGAAAAATGGCAAATATAGGTGGGAAACTGAGGCACCCAACTTTAATTAGACTAAAGATTTTCAGTAACGAGAGTTCCTGGTGAGACCGAAGAAGGCGTAAGATTACTGAGCAGGGTAGGAGGGATTAACTCCAGAGAGGAGGTATTTCCCTGACAGATCCAGGGGCTTTTGCTCTGCCCACCACCAGCAGCGGACACCCACCCAGTTCATAGATTGCTCAATTAGAACAGACTGTGGCTTAAAAGAAGAAAAGCTACATTGAGTTACCCTACAAAGCTTGCAGTCCTCTGTAAGGACCTGAAAAGCATCCAGCTGTCCCCACTGAACACAGACTTTAGCTTTTAATACTCCGTAAAACTGGTTGATAAAACCTTATTAATGGCATTGTAATGAAGGGTGGAATTAGGTGCCTCAGTTTTTGAAGGGGCTTCCTGTAGCTGAAAGTGCAAGAAGTCTTCAAGGGGGTCTACTCTGTGTTACTCAGTAAAAAACAACTGAAAACCAGGGCCCGCTGGAATTCAGCGTTTGGAATTCGAGTTAGAATTGCATTTCTTTCTGGAAGGGCAAGTTAGCACAACTGGAAAAATGAAATTCCTGTCACTGGGCGAATGGCAAGGCAGGCACTGTCCAGTTCGAACTCTGTGCCTGCTGAAATAAGTCTCTTCTTAGAAGAAACATCGTTTCACCTTTGCTCAGCAGTGCAGCTGACAAAAGCACCCTCAAAGCCTGATTTTGAAATTAAACCAGTGCCAAAACACGTAGACAATTAATAGTCCTCCACCTTAGCTACCGGGAGCAAGGACTGAGACCAGATAAACTTGTTTTCCTTGTGATCACCAGCTCTATAAGAAGGCTGGCAGCTTCCTAGCATTAGTCAGTAAAATGTTTGTTCTCTGTTGGATTCTTCTACAGCACAAAGCCTGGAGAGGTTGAGCCAGGATGTCTTCTGAAGGCTTTCTGAGGGAAATGCAAACCATTAGTGAGAAGTTTCTCCTGAAGCTCCAGAAACTACCCAAGGCCGACCCGGTGGAGATCGTGTCCTTCAGTGTGGTGCTTCTGTTTATCGGTGAGTTCACGGGTGGAGGTAGAGGGGTGTCAGAATGCCTCTTCTCTTCTACAGGGGCAGCTTGCTCCGCAGGCTGTTGGCGGGTTGGTGTTGGCTGTTGTTTCCCAGGCTGTGCTCGGATGTCCAGTTTCATTTCTAGGTCATTATTTAACACTCAGCGCGTCTCTCCACATGCACGCAGAGCACGACAGGTGACAGTATAGCTTTCCCCAAAGCTCTCATGTTTAAGCAGTAGTTTAAACAGCAGTATTTTAACCAAGCCAGAGCTGCTGCGATGTTTTGATGCGTCGGAGACAGCTTACGACAAACGGTATTGGGGCATCTCCCTGCCGCAGAAGACGCAAAGTCTGAGACTCTGTGTCATTCCTGTGCTCGGTTCAGTGGAAGCCACTGTGCTTCAGATGAGCCTATTTATTCTCCTCTGGTCACGGCACGATGGCTCCTGCTGGAATGGCATGGAAGGAATAACAAATCACTGCTTGATCACGGGGGATGAAGTGGGAAAAGAAGCAGGAAGGAAGGCAGGCCCTCCCACTCAAAGAGGTACGCTTTGCTCCCCGCCGAAAGGAAGGGTGTGTATGCAGCTGGACACTCCTCCCTGGGCTGGAATTCAGAAAGACACACCTGCTGCTTTACTGTTTTCATACCTACAGCTGGTTGCTCACAGGTCCCGTAACTTGGCAGCCCGGATCCAAACTTTTAAGGAACACGTGCGCGTTCACGCACACTTTACGCATTTTGCAGGATTAAACATGTCATCCTTTTCCACACCAGATGAACTAACAGATCTGTTCCAACACCAACCGTTACGCCTAGTGTAGCATAACAGCACGTTAGCCCACTGCTCTGTGAAACAAAGCCCTGCATTTGAAGTATCTGCTTTTTCCAGCTAAACACACAAGTGTGGTGGGTTGACCTTGGCT